GTATTCACTCCTTTATTCTAGCACTACGTGTGCTCATTCTGTTTTGCTACATTACAATCATGCCTTTTACTCAATTTACAATTATCTAACCGCCGAGCTTAAGTATACTAAAGTCCATTATTACAACGATAAATCAACAATGTAAATATTCGTAGGATAAGTAATCTTTGGTCGCCACAATACACAGACTCTATATATACTAAACTACCGTATTCGGTTTTCTCTCTCTTTTAAAGTTCGWATTTTTCTATTATTGARATCYGCGCTGAAAGGACACCAATCYCGGTTTTCTATGGAATATGCACCCCTACAAACATCAAAAACAACAACCTTTACCTTTTGTACATGTCCTGCTCTTAAGCACACTACCAGCGTAGCGACAAGACAAAGGAATACGATATATAGCTGTTTCAAAAAAGGTTGTCGGATAAAATGGCGAATTTCAATGGTCGAACGGCAATTGCACGACCGAAAGTAGCCATGGGTTTTGTTATTTTAAAGGCAATAACAACTGATTTGTACTGTGGATGATCTGTGGTAAACAATGGCTCCATTTAGTCTCCATTTCTATGTAAGGTGAATCCAATAAGTGAAATACTGTTTATCAAAACAGTGTAACCATAGTCCCTTTCGGTCGTGCAATCTCCCTTCGACAATCGCCGTTCTCCCCGACAACGTTTTTTGAAATATTTCAAAAAACTTCATTGAGAGTAATAAGTAATCTTAATTTCTTGAGAGCATCAGCTTTAGAATGATATCTACTCTTTCTAAAGTTTGTCTTATACAACGACACTCAACAATGAAGAACATTAATAGCACACCTTTTTTTGAAAATGAAGTGTCGTTAATCAGCTTCTTCTTCAAGTAATTGAAGCCCGATCAAGAAAATCAGTTGTTTTTGGCTTGAGTTGATTGAAAAAATGTGTTTTTCACAATCCAAAATTACTATATATCCCAATATATTAAGGAATTTTGTATTTTCTGACAAAATATCTAAAACCACAGTAACTAAAAACGCTGGAGCGAAAAATGTGGTAAGAAGAAAAAAAATGAGAAGACAATTAAAGAACACAAAACAGGCTTAATTTTAATTAAAATTAAAAAATGATCGTGGAAACCCTCAACACTGATATCTTGACAACAGRATAATGGAATTTAAAAAAGATATGTGTTCAAGAAATTGGTTCCCGTTGTTTATAATTCATATTTAGTATGGCACAATTTATGTTTCCCCAGCACAAGAAAAAGTATTGCAAAAATTGGCGATTTATACGTGGGCGACAAAGGTTACATTTTGGCTAATTTGCGTTGAAAAAGTCAAAAATTAAAGTTTCAATTTGCAAGAAAAAAAACTTCAAACATGAAAGGAGCTCGTGAACAGTAGTCACTAATGTTAAGGCGAGTAGTCAACTAAAAATGGCCTATAAAAAAAMCAAGCGCCGAAATTTCTAAGATTTTCAAAGAAATGACGGTGGTGGGCATACTGAGGCTCTTGCCAACCAGCACTCAATGCTTTTCGTAGACTTCGTAGAACACTTTTTGATATCTCCAAATGTAAAAAGAAATGTAAAAAGGTCTTTTGCCCTAATAGCATAATCTTGATTGGTGTGAATTGTTTATTTTTGAAAGATTAGTATTTTCCCCTATACTGATAAATCATATCAGGATTAAACTGCGATTCCGTTGTAATTTCAGGCTGGCCGGGGGTTCTAAAAGATTTCTAAATCTGAAATGCCATGATATCTAAAAATTATTAATATTGGTATCATTGTATGCACTATAATGATCTAATTCCGTATTAAATGAACTCATTCACTTGTCAACATGTGCTCTTCTAAACAAAATTGTTGCCTTTTTGTCTAAGGAAYAGTTTCTACGATACCAAAATTCACTTCTGGAATTCCACTGTCTGAACAAGAAGCRCTATTTTTCTTTTAGAATTGGCACACAGAGGAAGGTTTCCCATTCTTTTCAACCAATATTATGTCAATGCAACTACTGTTGGACTTTACCTATCGTAACCAGGACCCGCGCCTTGAACCCGAGGGGGGACTCCCTAATAAAACAGAGAAAAACAGAAAGCACAATTAAACAATCCAATGAAAATAGTTTTTTCTATTGTTATTAAAATAATAATGGAAATGCAAAGGGCACTAGTGTTTTATAAAAGTCTTCATACTTGAAGATACCCTGACTATTTGATATGAATGAACAGCATGCAATTCAAACCGCCATGTTGGATAAAAGAGAGCGAAATAGGTCAATAAAATGCTTTGATATTTTTATTCAAAATGAAGGTTTTGATGTAACTCTACACGAATTGCATTACACTTGTGTTATTTGATAACTAAATGTTTTTCTTCGCAAACCTGTGAAATACGCAAAGCATCGTTTTCACGGGTTAATGTGTACAGATTTACAGCAGAAATTGGTTGCTTGTCGGAACGTATGCTAATTATAGTTCTTCATTCTTCTTAGATTAAATACAGCAAATACACTTTTTTCCTGAAAATACTTTGCCCGAAATGTTACTTAGGGTCACTTAGCGATACCACTACCGGAAAGAACAACGGTTTTGCTGCAGTTATTTGCGTTTTAAAATTTGCGTTTTGCACACACTAGCTCAGATTATTTTATCAAGATTTTATGCTTGCCAGATCTAGAAAAATGACCCACCTTTTTGAACCACCTTAGTCTTCGTTTAGGGCTACGGTCAGGGCACTGGGTCTAGGGTTATTGAGCCTCTTTACTTTTCCGCCCAACTGAAATCTGTATTGAATGAGCTACTAATAAGTATTGTTAGATAGGCTGCCTGAGAAAGCCGGCCGGTGAACCGACGAGTGTAAAATCAAGCAAGAGAGCTTCAGCATCCATGTATTTAATATTAAACAGTGTATGTTAAATATATATGTTTACATAGACTTCAAAACAACAACGATTTTKCAGAGTACATAAATAGTATAAAGCTTTATAACTGATGACCATGGCTTCCAGTCCTTTTTGATATTTTTGTATTACATGCACCTCCACCTGAAGAAAAAAAGGAAATCTCAGAAATGAAAGCACAAATACACACAATAACTAATGTCCAGAATAATGTCGGATATCCCGCATTATTTGCATTGCTTGCTTCAATGAGTCAGCCAAATATCATTGAGATTGTCTAGGGGGAGCAATAAGAAATGCCTTGTATTCCAAATTACTTAACATTTCGTTGGAATTTTACTTTCTCAATTCGAGGTGGTCGAAAACGTTTTACCGTTTGAGAGAAAAAGAGTCCATTTGTGTAAAATGACGTAAGACCCAAGTTTAGTGTTACGATTGTACAATGATGTTATTCACAAAAAATGAAGTCAGGCGATTCAAATTTCATACCGGCCGGAATTTGATGTTTGTAAAGCATTTGAGTATCTTTGGATAGCTGCAACATTGTGCAAGTCTTTTACGATCGACCTGGACTCGTCCCAGCTTCTAACGCTTTGAAATCTGGCAGTCGCTATCAGCCCTATAACATCCCTGGTCAAAGGCTTTTGGGTAAATATAGATATCACTAATTTGTACATACGGTTTGCTAAATCCATCAGCTGGGAAGCATTTCCAAGTACAGCAAAGTCTTGAGGCACCTGCAGGACATATATATTTGTACGGGATGCAAAATGGCGGTCGCAAAATCCAATTCTGCCAGGGAATCTCTCTTTTCGAAGTTGTGCCCCGCTGAAGCTACAAACAAGAAAATCTTAGAAACAATGCTATAAATGTTTGTATAACTCATGATTTTTGAACGTGATATTTAACAAAATAATACAACTAATTAATCGATAATCAGCTATGCTTGACAAGGTATGTAATATTTTGGGCAATAGTAAATGGTTATCATAAAAAGCAATGCTGTTTCAAATGATGCTCCGCTTCAGTTGCAAATTTAGTAAAAATCTGTGCTATTTTGATTTTCTACAAATTCACGTACTCTACTCGACTGGTCGGTTTTCTCTCTCTTTTTTAAAAGGGCTATACTTGGATGAAAAATGGCGAAACACTGGAAAAGGCACGAAATTCTTGTAGACTTATCAATAAAGATCCTATAATCACGAAGCAATGTATTTTGACAAGATATTGATACAATTTCTTAGGAATTTTGTCAAAAGATTTAGGAGTATATGACGTCATATACTCCATCCTTTTGTTCTATCTTCGTTTGAGTCAAAAACATTTCTGCTTTGGAATGACTCCATAACAAAACTTTTCTCTGAGAAAGCATTATAGGTATATATGAGTCATATATTTGAATTACACAGGGTTCTGAAATTAGTGCTTCTTCGTGCAAGTAGCAATTTAAAGTTCGAATTTTTCTATTACTGAAAGGACCACCAATTGCGCTTTTAATCTATGGAATATGCAAGAAGCTTCATGTGTACCTATATATGCACCTCTACAAACATCAACAACAAAAATGTTTACTTACTTCTTCTGCTCTTAAGCACACTACAGCGACAAGACAAAGGAATACGATATATTTCATGATGTTGCAATTTCAGCTCACTTCAGTCTCAATATAAATCTTGATTTCTTGAGATCATCAGCTTTAGAATGATATCGACTCTTTCTAAAGTTTGTCTTATATATAACGACACTCAACAATGAAGGGCATTAATAGCACACCTTTTTTGATAATGAAGTGTCATTAATCAGCTTCGTCTTCAAGTAATTGAAGCCCGATCAAGAAAATCAGTTGTTTTTGGCTTGAGTTGATTGAAAGAACATGTTTTTCACAATCCAAAATTACTGACTGGTATTGCATATTATATATCACAATTGATATTCAGATATTTTTTATATTGTATGACAATCTAAGAACTATCCTAAAAAAACGCATGGAAAAGAGCGAAAAACGTGGAAATGCACAAGAGAAGAAAAAATAGAGACAAGAGAACAAAAACAGGTCAATTAAAAAGTATCGTGGAAACCCTCAACACTGATATCTTGACGTAAAACAGAATAACGGGATTTTTTTAAGTATCCCAATAATTAAGTCATAGATGTTTACAAGTAAGGATGGGAAATGAATATACGTAGAATCTATCAAATCAATCACGGTGCTGATAAAAATATATTTCGCGGCAAAATTCTATATAATTAACATAACCTGGACACGGTTTGTTCCACGAAGTATGTTCCCGTTGTTTATAATTAATATACTTAGTATACTACAATTCATGTTTCTTGTGTCCTCTGCAGTATGACAAAAATTATTGCAAAAATTGACGATATCTGATATAGGTGGGCGCCAATGTTTACATTTTAGCTATTTGCATCGAAAAGTCAGAAATTGAATTTCAATCTACAAGAAAATAAACTTCAGACATAAAAGGAGCTTATATCAATCAATAGTTTGTGAAAAATTTAAATCAAGTATATGAGAGCGCCGCCTTTCTAAGACTTTCCAAGGAAATCACAATGGTGGGCATACTCTTGCCAACCTGTCAATGTTCTTCAAAGATTTTATGTTTTCAAAAGCCAATATCTCTTGAAATGTAAAAAGGTCTTTTGCCCTAAAATTTTCAGGTTATCGTTTATTTTTGGAAGTTTAATATTTTCCCCTGTAATGATACATCAGATTAGGGATGAACTGCAGTGAATTCCGTTGTAATTTCAGGCTGTGGTTCTAAATCTTAAATGCCATGATAACTCAAAATTATTAGTATTGGTATTATTGTGTGCTCTCTAATGATCTCATTTCGAATTAAATAAACTTTTATTCATGTTGGTCAACATGTGCTCTTCGAAACAAAGTGTTGCCTTTGTGTCTACAGTCCAAGGAACAGTTTCTACGATACCAAAATTCACTTCTGGAATTCCACTGTCTGAACAAGAAGCACTATTTTTCTTTGAAAATTGGCATATGGAGCAAGATTTTCTATTCTTTTGAACCAATATTTCATCAATGCAACTGACTGTTCGACTTTTTCCCTATTACAATAAAAACACGATTTTTACAGTTTGACAAGCTTTAATTCCCGGGGGGGGGGGGGGGGGTACTCCCCTATATTCGCTATACGGGGACGTGCCGCCAGCTAGGGTATCGATTTCAGCGATTTTACTCTGGAACTGGGTATCGATTTTAGCGATTTTACTCTGGAACAGGGTATCGATTTCAACGAATTTTCTCTGGAACAGGGTATAGTTATCAGCGATTTCACTCTGGAACAGGGTCAGGGTTTTGATGTCCCAGCGGCACACCCCCACCCAAGTTTCGGGGGAGTACCCCCCCGGGCTTTAATTCTTGGTGTGCAACCACTGACAAGGAATCCCCTGAGAAATAAAGAACAAAGCTATCGCCGCCATGATGGATGAATGAATAAGAGAAACTAATGAGGAATGCTTTGTGATTTTCATCCAACATGGCGGTGATAAAGTAWCTTGCACACCAAGAATTAGTAAATTGTGTTTCACGGGCTCATGAAAGCCCCTTACTTGCATCAAATTTGATCTGTATTTTCCTCGACACGTGTTAAACACTCTTTGACTGTGTAGTATTAATGTGCGTAAAGCATCAAACTATACTAAGAACATTTTTTGTGTAAATTTTACACATCGAAACGAAACATGAACAACTATAATGAGCAGAGAACTTACGCTTGTACAAGATTGGCGAATTCCACTTCTTATTTATAAACCACGTGGGCGCTGTTCTTTTCAAATATTTCTGTGTGAACCGAGCAGAATTCAAGACACCGTGGCAAAATGCCGTCTTCATTAGTATCTTTTGTCTGTTAAAGACAAAGAAAGTCTCAAAGAACGTTTTTAATCAAAAGAAGGCTACTTATTACTACTATTTCTACTGTCTTCACAGTACAGCAATCTCCAGTAAATTGATTTAATACCTCATCAAAAGTGACGTAAGCTCGTATTTGTGGAGAAATAGATATAGCCAGAAAGGCTGCAAATGAGGGAAGAATGAAGAAGGAGACGTCACGCTAGGAGGGATAAAGATTTTCATAATTGAACTATGTTATTGTATGGCGCCCGTGTCGGATTAAGGCGATAGTATATATAGTATATAGTATAAAAGTAGTCATAAAAAAGTGGGAAGGCTCGGTTTTATTTTTCTACAATTGCTGTTTTCTTATTTCTTCATAGTGCAGAGTGTAATTCCAGAAATTACTTGGCGGGATTTACAATTACTTAATTTGCCAGGTTATGRTTCTGATTTTATTGAACAATATGCGGCAATTACTAAAGAGAGCTATAGACAATGTAATTAAAGAGCTTTGTTTCACTACTTAAAAAAACGTTTTTTGATTAATGATATATTGTTGAATGCAACTATATATAAGTCAACATTTCAAGAATCCAGTTATTCTAAAGCCGAGGCGTCCAAGGTTGAGAAGCAAGCTTTCTAAAAAATGCAACATAAAATGAAATTTATAGTATTCCTATGTCTACTGTCTACGCTGGTACTATGTTTGAGGGCAGAACAAGAGGTAACTAAATGTTGTTCTTGATTTATTTTGGTACATATTTAGATCGACGGACAAAGAGAGAGCGGCTTCTAAGCTCTTGACTTGGCATAGAACACTTCTAAAACTCGCTTGTCACATGGCTTGCTTTAAACTTACATTGTAACTTGAAAGAACTCCGACATTAAGTGTACAGTAGAAAATATCAATAAAAAGGAAAACTATCCGTTGCAAACACTAATAATATTTCAGTCAGGACGTACTGGTCCGTACTGACTTTGAATCCAAAGAAGACGCGGCTAGCAATGAAAAAATAAACAATTTCAACGCAAAGATACTGATCGTGCGAAATCTCATTGCTTTTCAATGCTAAGCTTTATTGAGAGCGCTACTACACATTTTCTTGTTTGCAGCTGAATGTTTYAAAAAGAGGAGACATTCCCTGGCAGAATTGGATTTTACGCCCACCATTTTGCATTCCATACGGTAATGTATGTCCTAAAGGTGGTGCCAGACTATGYTGCTCTTGGAGGTGCTACCCTGTTCACGGATACAGAAAGCCGTGAGTACAAAATTAGCTTATTATCAATGTTTGCCTGTAGACGATTAACTCCCTAAAGACAGCCAAGAATTGTGCTGATAATCACATTTATAAAAGAAACTGCTATGATTAATAATCCAAGCGATGTGTGTTGTGTGTTGTGATTTATGACAATGGTATTCTCTATATGATTTTGATTTTTCAGGAACTGTCAATCCCGAGATCTCAGTAATTTCTAAAATTGTTTGCATATACTTTCTAAACTTCACCCATTTCCCACAAAGTGATTAATCCCTGTTACTACAATTGCAAAGAATATACTTTGCCTACTATCGTTTGTAATGAAATCTGAAAGAAAAAATGAATAAATAAAAAATAATAAAAGAAAAATGTTATACGTAGAGTAGGCTGGTACTTAATGACAGTGACGCTATTTTAGCCATGTTTCTAACAAGGACATTGAGAAACTTTACGTGAGTTTTGCTCATATATGTAAAATCGACATTTTGGAAAATTTAATATGGACTATATCTCGTATTCTTGCTGAATTGGAAAGCAACTTTCAAAATCGGACCTTTTTGAAAACAAAACAAACGATCGCAAAAAATCTCTGGGATGTAAGCGGGCCTTTAAAGTGACGTGTACTTGTGTATTTACGGGTTTGTGATAAACACTTTATCATCGTGAAGAATTGCAAAACAGGATTTGCGACATCATTATAGCTGTATTTTATATTATACAAAAAGCTAAAACATTTCTCTTTTTTGTCAGGTGGAGGTGCGTGTGAAACGAAAATTGGAAACAATGGCAGTCCTATAGTTATTTAAAGACGTTAAAAATATTTTAGAAACAGTTAAATATACTTTAATACTTTTATAGTTTATATAAACACGTTTGACGTGCATGTACTACCTTCAATAAAAAGGACGTTGAAAAAGCTAATGCTTGTTGCTTGATTATTGGACTCGTTTCTAGAATC